AAAAAAAAGAGAGAGAGAGAGAGAGAGAGAGAGAGAGAGAGAGAGAGAGAGAGAGAGAGAGAGCTGTACATTATATAAAATAAACTGAAAACCAGTGTAGGAAAAATGAAACTATTATTTGTACAAATACGATTCGTCTTGATTACTCAAGTACAAATGATAAAATGCTCCTTAGTCATTTTGTAATATAAATACTGTATCTAAACCATATATGATATATAATCACAATATTGCTTCCTATGGCTGTGATTACTGAGTCATTTGATGTTGGCTTTAAGAGGGAGTAATATCATGTAAAACTCATATTTCACGCCATATTTATTTATTGTTACAATTCTTTTAACACCTTACATCGTTGCTGAATGAATTATTGTTGGAGATAAGAAAGCACAGTATTCATACGTAAAGATATATGTAAAAGAAGAGCGAAATCTAAATTTGAAAATAACTTCATAAAATGTTCATTTAAGTTATCAAAAATTTTCTTTGGAGATTTGCAACTAATCTTTCGTTTGAAATATGTGTGCAAGTATGCGTGGATGCGCCTATTACACACGTACACATATTTTATATAGTTTAAGCGTGTAATTGTCAGATTATAGTATGTCTTATTGAATTTATCAGGACATTCAATTCATTGTTTATACTTTTGTTGTAATCTGTTAATCTTTGTATTAAACATATTTTAGATGTTTTTTTATTTCAACCTTAAATAAATGTTTATTTCTCAAGTGTGTTACAGAATACTATAATATTTCACCAATTTCTTTTAAAAAATTTATGTAAATTACCGTGGTCACGTATTAGTATATGACCGATTTAATATTTTCTACGGTTTTTCTTTATAAGTAAGCGCTTATTTTTTGAAAAAAAAAACAAGATGTATATAGTCGATATATATGCTCCCACTGCTATTATAAAGAAATACAAATAATGTAGAGTATATAATAAGTATATATTGAGTTTGTGTAATACAGTGAAACGCGTTATACATAATGATGTAAATAAATCATTCTATAAAGTATTATGGTGTATCTTCATGTTTAATTCGTTGCTTTATCTCTCGGTTTCTTACAAGTATATGAAGAAAGGAAAAAACATTTGAGAACAGTTACATTTTGAAATCTTACTTCAGAGTTATTTTCTTTAAAATACTTTTTGATGGGCATGTAAGTCTCATTTGTAATAAGCATCTATTTTATTTAAATTAAAAGAGTAAAATATGGCAAAAGTTACTAGTGATGTGTGCGACGCTCGTTGTCAATTATTTCACAGTGAAATGATAAGAAAGGAAAATGCAATACGGATGAAATGGTTTTTAAAGAATCAACAACGATTGATAGATCAGCTAAGAGAACCGAAATTTACAAAACGTGCCAAAGAAATAATTGCCAAGTCCAAAAAACGAGAAGCACCACGTGTAGATAAACCTGTTGTGCGTGATTACAGTTTGCTAATTCATAATGTTCATCTCTTTAAAATTTTGTACATATTTAGATACAACGGCAGCTCTTACCCACATGGAGGCCACCTAAATCCAATGGTTCTATCAATATAGATATTATGAAACCGATTGAACCCGATGTAAGAGCCATACTTTATGAAGAAGGAATTCCAACTTTTATTACTAGTTATAACTATCTAACTAAAAGGTATCTCCAAATACGGTGCATAAATCCCTGAAAACGTTTAATTAATTAATTTAAAATGCTTTTTGGAATTTTTTAGATATAAAGAACCTCCGGAAAAGCGTTTCTATTTTCCCGATTGTACAAATTGGATATATGGTTGGCGTCTTGATGATTATCCTTCTGTTCCACTTAGTGAAGTAAGACTAAGATCTATTATGTTAGCACAATTTTATCAGCGTAAGGCATTCAATTTGGAACAAGATCTAGAATGGTTTCGTGGTTGTCAAATGAAGAATGCAAAGAATTTTAATGAACGTTGACATATTAATTATTAACTAATTTATAACGCTTATACAGAGAATTATAAATATATCTATGTATATTGCTGTAGTATCATTATTGATATTTTAATATTATAATTTTCTGTGATGTTTATTACATTTTGTGATAACTGCTATTTTTATAATAAAACAGATATGTGCGATCAGTTGACGATTATTCATTCCGTTTAAATACCCATAATTTTATAATTTATCACATACAAAACAAACGATACAATATCTCTTTAAAACAATTTTATCCTCAAAATTAGAATACATTGATATTTGTAACAAAATATGATTCTTTAATTGTTAAGAAAATTCCATATTTGTAAAGATAATTCAAGAAATCCCTTTAACTTCATTACATAATACAGTTAACAAGTATTATTTATTCTATTATAAATAACATACATTAATATTCTAAGCTATTATTTTGGATTATAATATGAGTGTTAATTGAGAAAAATCAGGTTTAGTTCTCGATATACACCGAGAAATACATCAGTCCATATTGCCAGCAATTGTCGGTTATTAATCAGCGGTTTTCTGCTTCTGCATATTTATTGCAGCCTTCGCAATTTGTTGAAACAATGTCTCGGTATCATACTTTGCATACCACTTTATTATTTTCTCCATCCATCCTTTTTGCGTTTCGGTACATTTCTTGCAGTTAGTTAGGAGAGCTTCGCCATACAATTCTGAAATTAAAAAAGATTTTATTCTTTATTTATTTTCTTTATTTCAAAATAATCAACTTTATTTCTCTAATTAGCAAATGTACCAAATCCTAATACCTAAATACCCTTTGATATTAAGGGTTTATATTACGATCGCAATCAATTTTGCAAAATTATTATCGTTGAGTACCGATTTCTGTTTAATTAGTATGTCCATGCTGATATGTCGAAAATTATTAAAGATAGACAAAAAATGAAAAAATCTCTTCAGTGAAATTATTTTGATATCATTTTTAGTATTGAAACTGTACTCGAAAAATTTGACTACCCTTTTTTTCCTCAAAATTTCGTCGGAAATAGGCACAATTCCCATAACACACAAATCATCTTACTGTAATCCCATTCAAGAGTTTATTTAACTTTTCGTCTAACTTTAATTAGTTTCCAAGATATCAGCATAGATATATATTAAATCGAATATCTTATACATATTTACAATTTAGCATTAAATAAAAATTTTGTTAAAGTCTGAAAATAACTTGCAAATCTTATTTTAGCATTTCTTTTCTCTCTTGGAGTTTAGTACGCCAATTTCCTTTTTACATTGTAGATTATTTGAAAACTGTAGATACCTAGACGTTAAAGAAAAATCGATTTCATATTGGTCAAAGAGAAATTTTCTCTGTCGCAAAAAGAAAAAAAATAATTCTAAATACTATATACTATGCATCTGTATAGTTTGTAGCATTATACACATAGGTACCTGTTAATGCCTCCTGCATTGTGTTACATGGTCCTGTATTCATGTAGCATTTGTGATATTCTTCTCGTTGAGTGTCGTTACGAAGAATAGCATCCATATCAATGTCATCGAATTGATCGGAATAGCGCTCTACTGCAAGAACGTACATCAATACGTTCATAGCAACGATTAATATGATACGGCTTAACTGAGACATTGATTCCACAGTTATGACACTTGATATACTAAATTATCAATGAATTGTCGTTTCATTTTATATAAATATTAATTGATAAAAATATCACGTGATATATGTACAGATGCAAAATGTGTACAGAAGATTTAGTAATTAAAATTAAAAGCTGTTGAAAGTATACAATTATATATAGGAATTTTTTAAAATACTTTAACTTTTGACGTACTATATTTAATGATATTTGTTTTTAGCAATAATTCATAATTTAGAGTTAATTTTTTTAACAATATGTAATTACAAGACTATGGAGAGTGATGCACATTTGGCTCCCCGGCAACACGGAAAACCGCCCCACCATTTCGCTGCGCGAGAGCGAGCGAGACAGCGATGTGCATCACCGTTAACGGAGCCAAGCCAGTTGCTGATGCTTAGTGTGTATTTAATTTTTTTTAATGAAAATTAACTCAATTGATCAACAATATTTTAATTAGACCAACTCAAAAAGATCTTCGTGACCTAAATTTTAGGAACTACATAAATAGATTACATCAATACACCCTTCAAGTAATTTCATTATACTACGACGAAATTTTAATTTTGGTTATAAAGATATGTAATATTAAAGATTTAAAAATGCAATAATTAATAAATTTCTTTGACACTTATTTAAACAAAATCTACTCCAATTTAATTATTATTGTAATTAAATGTGATTAATAAACAAAATTAATATGTTATTTATTCTTTGAAAACGTATATACCCTAACAAAAGCATACATATAAGCATAATATAAGGCAGATAAGTTCTGTTCTCATAAATTATTTATTAACACGTGAGATAATTAATTTTTTAAGACTAATTGCATAGGTATAATTGCGCGCATATTTTATTTATTGATATTTTATATTTCCAGAATCTGCAGGATTACTAGACATTATAAAATACATTCTCACATTTCTAAATATATTCATGTAGTATGTAGTATTAAAGACTTAATAATCTTGCAATTAGATTGCGAAATTCAAGTATTACAAAAACTTTATTTATATGTGGTGCTACAATAACTGCTTCAAGCAACTTTACATAAACGTTAAAAAATGTTTTTCATAAAATTATTTGTTGCTTTTTTCCATTAATTCTGAATGAAGCAACGGAAATAATATTTTGCCAGTATATAACTGATTTATTATATTAATCAGTTAAAAAATTAAAAAGATTCACCTGTTTCATATAATTGCCATTTATGCTATTGAAGACCTTTGTATACCAGCGCGGTTATTAAATATTTCTCCATCTGACAATAAGTGAATGAATTTGTATAAACATTAATTGTGTAATTAATACCAATAATGTTAAAAAGTAATGAATATACATTATACATGAAACAGATGTACAATTTGTATGATATTTATTATTCAATAAGATTGTGAACATTGTGCTTCTTAAACTAAGGATTTCGAATTAAATTTCTGTTTATTTCAATTTGTACTTTCCTTATTGACTCTTTCCATAAAGTATTCCGGAATATCCTATGTGATCTTTCCGTCAATAAATAGAAGGAAAGACGATATTTTAATTTATGAGAATCAATTTATCATCAATCCTTACACTGAGAAAAAAATGCTGTTGATTCAATTAAAGTCTCTATTACGGGCTGTCACTAACATAAGTGATTAATTTATGTATATTTTTATTGACATAAAGGCATAAATTATTATTTCAATAATCAAGCCTTTATGTCAATAAAATCTACGCATGAATTATAATTCATGTGTAGATTTTATTGATTATAATCACTTATGTTAGTGTTTATTGATTATAATCACTTATGTTAGTGACAGCCCGTAATATATAGACTTTAATTGAATCAACAGCATTTTTTTCTCAGTGCATAAATTATAAAGAATTAATTTTCTCATCGTTATTATATGTTTATTATTGTTTTTTTTTGTTAAAGCTGTAAAAGAATATAACTAATACAATTTTTCATTATATTGATAATCGTACATTTTATCATGAGTATCAATGATTATTAGTTAAAATATTTTAAAACAATGTTTTAATTACTTTATCACAATAAAGTTAATTTTGCCAAATTATCGAGAGAGAGAGAGAAATTATAATATCATATTTATTAAATCTCAGTTATGATAAAATTAACTACGCAACATATGTTTTGAAAGCAGAATATACTAGAAAATACTTCGTTATATCTATTTTTTAAAATTTGTGCTAGATATTGTATATTAATGGAAGACCAGTACAATTAAAAAAAAAGTTTTTACATTACTGCGATAATTATAATAAATTAAAATAATGAAGATTTAAGTGTTATAATTTATTTTTCTTATAACAATGCGTAATTTGTGTTAATGGTAAAATGTTTTCTAAAATATCATGTTTCTATTTTTTGTAATATTTACATATATTACGTATACGTCGTACGTATTATATTATTTTAATAATATTTAATATATTTTTATATATTTAAATATGTGTATATATGTGTGTATATAGTATATTAGGTGTACAAATAAATAATCCAAATTTTTCAGCTAAATTCGAGATTTATTTTAAAAAGAAGTAAAACAAATTTTTCAATCAAAGTATTCATCGTTGCTTTCTATAATTTTAAACCATCTTTCAGGTAGCTGATGAATTTCATCTCGGAAAAATGCTGTGTCTTTGGATACGATAAAGTCGTCAAGCCATTTTCGGATCTCATCCACTGATTGGAAGTGGGTATCGGACACGGCGTGTTGCATCGACCGAAACAAATGATAATCGGTTGAAGCAATGCTGATGAATATGCCGGGTGCTGTAAGACGTCCCAGCCAAAATTTATTATGGTGCCTTTTATCTTGGAAACAGTGTGTAGCCTGGTGTTGTCATGCAACAATTTCACAGGACGTTCTCCCTTGCCAGTATACTGGCGTTTCTGTTTCAACTTTTAACTCAAGCAGCTTGTTTTACGCAGTTCCAACAGTTACTGTGGACTGCTACCAATGCCAATTGATCCGCTTGCCAAAAATTTCTCTGTTTGCCATAACTGCCACAAGTAGTGTCCTTATTACAAGACAAGCAAACGTATATGAAAAACATTAATTTGAATATTTACTTATTTAGGACACAGTTTTAGTTATTATCATAATTTACATCTATATATACTTTCTAAATTTCTTGGAGTAAAATCTCACTTCAAGAAACTTAAAATACAGTCATTTTTGGAAAAGAGTGAAAATATTTCACTTCTTGAAAAAGAGTGACAATTTTCATATGTAATAGAATCCCATTCAAAATTAGTTAAAATTGTCACTCTTTTTTAAGAAAAAGAAATATTTTCAATGTTTTTCAATTTAAAAAAAAAATGTGTGTGCGTAGCTGTATTTTCACTCTCTTAGAATGAGATTTTATTTCAAGACATTTAAAGAGTACCATATAATATCTTAACAGGATATAGCATATGTACAACATACATCAAAGCAGGTACGCTGTCATGCAAGAAATCGAGCATCATGTGATTTCACCTTAATTTAGGAGGGATTATTAGCGTTTCAGACTGATTGTGTGTTGGAAGTCCGAATTAATGTTATCAACGCGCAATCATTTCTGAAATAAATTTGGTTTAATAAAGAATATATGATGTATTATTTGAAACACCTATGTTTAACGATTATTTATTTCATTTATGATTTATAATTTTTGTAGTTGATCATATAATAAACGTTCTTTATAATATTTTTTTTTTAATGAAAAATATTCTTCTCTCTTCTAAGCCATAAATACTTGTAATATAGTACAATTTATTCTTGTAACATTTCTGTTAATATAAATTGTTAAATGAATTGCAAAGTGTTAGACAATATAATTTGTATAAAATGTCTTTCTAGTTCCATTAGATGTCATCCTTTACAAATATTATTTGATTTATCAGATAGTAAATTATAATTATAAATTATTGTATCACATTAATTTATCGAGAAAATTTGGATACAGCATACGTTTCGAGATCTATTGTTTATCTATGTTGTCAACAGTTATGTTTGAGCAGATTTTTTTTTCGTATCTTCTAAAGTTTTCGCAACTATTCTATCCCATTTTTCAGGTTCGTTCTTCTGAAACCACTCAATACCTTTTTCAATTATTATTTTTTGCTTTTCAGTACATTTCTTGCATTTAGTTTGGAAAGCTTCACTAAATATTCCTAAAATCGAGAAGATTTATATATATTTATTCTAATAATTAATTTAATTTCTGATTAATAAGTTTATGCAATCTAAATACGATAGAGAATTAAAGCATAAGAAATTCAGACAACCTTTTTTATTTCTGCTACATTACTTTTTTGTATGACAAATTAATTCAGAAGCAAATTTGTTTTTGTAAAATATTCGACGCGTACGTCATTGCTTCAATTTTTGCTAAACTTTTTTCAATTTTTAAAATTTATGTATATTTATAATTGAGCAATTTTTATTAAAATAAAGCTTGTAAGTAAATAGAAGATTTTTTGTTTATTCCTGATATTTAGTTCGTCAGAAGAATGTTTTATTTGGCATTACAAGTGGTTTGCAAACTATATAAATACCTCTACGTTAAAAAAATTAATTTTGTTTTAATTAAAGAATTCGTTACCAAATAAAAAAAATAATTTGATAATAGTACAGAAATACCTGTGAAAAATCTCTGCTGTGGTGTCTTACATGGTCCTATTTCCATAAAGCAATTGTAATAATCTTCTATTAAACCTTTATTATTAAAAACTGTTTGAATATCGATATTATCGAATTCATCAGAGTAAAGCTTCTCTTCTGCAACGCACATCAGTACGTTTATTATAGTAACGATCAACGCGATACTTAACCGAGGCATTGCTTCAGAATTATAAACGTTATGATATTTGAGATACTATTAAATGACCGTAATAAACCGTACATTTCACTTTATATAGATTTTACTTAGTAAAAAAATTTGTGTTACGTAAGATATGTGCAGAAATATAATAGGTGGGAAAACTCTTGATATATACGTTTGATTATGAATATTGAAAACACATAAATTATGTATGTTTTAAAAGATACAATGTGTATATTAAATTTTCTAAATGCAATGTATACAAATATCACGTAAGCAATTTTTTTAAATACGAGATGTCTGTAACTTGTTATTTTCAATAATTTAGTTAATTTAAAAATAACTTTTTCTTAGCAAAACAAATTTTGAATTACGCGTCAATAAATTTTGAGTTACGAGTAAATAAAAATAAAAATTTTGTCTTTAAACTTCAAGAAGCAAAATACATTACATAATTTTATTTCGTTATAATTGCGCATATGTAAAAACATATTATTGGCGCGCTCCGCGTCGATTTTAAGTGACTTGATCATCACATCATGAGACATCGATGATTTACAGTATTTTTATTCGTTTCTTTTGTTAAATAATATGTATATCATAACAAGATTAAAAAATTGTAAAGTTATTATTCTAAAAAGAAGGTTTAATGTACCAATATTGCATCACATATCATGACTATGTATCTACAAATGATATCAGAAATCATATAATTACTTTAATTTTATAATTACTTTTTTTGTAACTAAGATATCAAACAGTTTGAATTGAAACCTGAGGGTTACCAACATTTAACTTACGCTCATCAGTTTTCTCTTCTTAAAAACCGAAGATTTCATTTATCTTGCCGAACATCAATTGCTACTTTAAAAATTGTTATTATATTGTAATGCGTTCTTTCAAAAAACGTTAAAAAACGTCAAATATATACAATCAGAGAATTGGCAACCGTGCTTACTCTAGACGGAATATGTTAAGATTTATTAATGCCTTATATATGTTCTTAGAATTTAAGATTGCTTATAAGTATTTTAAATCAGATTTATTTATCGTGTGTGTAAATATTCATGCGTTATGCATAAAAAAATACCTAATAAAGGTAATAAGACTGCGCATTTTAATTAGTCGTTATCGGTTTTAAAAAGGAGAGGTAGATTGATGCAATTGGTCTCTCTCCTCTCTCTCTCTCTCTCTCTCTCTCTCTCTCTCTCTGTCTTTCTCTCTTTAAAATAATAGTAGGAACACATACATAAGTTGAATTGACCTCCTTATCTCTCTCTCTCTCTCTCTCTCTCTCTCTCTCTCTCTCTCTCTCTCTCTGTCTGTCTTTCTCTCTTTAAAATAATAGTAGGAACACATACATAAGTTGAATTGACCTCCTTGTCGCCTTCTTTATTGCATTCCCTACTTGAAGCCAATTAAAGAGAAACTGATACATTTTAACATTGCATTCTCTTCCTAACAGAGCAAAGGTGCAGTTAAGATAATAAATCCATATTTATCATATCATTGCTAATAATATGATATTATAAAAACTTTGTGCGCAATTACTGTATCAATAAATTTTAAATAAACAAAAAACATAATTTTTCATAAAATTATGCATTGATATATTTCTTTTTTTGAAAAAACGATATAAAATACGTTAAAAAATAGCAACACTATCATTATTTATTGTTTTATTTACGTAATAACAACTCTGCTATTGTGCTTCATGTCACGAGCGTAACGCAGCAGCGTTGCTGCAGCACCAAGTTCTTAAATAATAAAGTTCTTAAATAACTCGTAAGAAAGTACGTAAGTACAATAATTGAATTTTCAAGCGAGGTAGTGCGATTTAGGAGTCGGTACGATTTCGGCAACTTTATCCTATACTGTAAGATATATTGATCAAAACTTTATTTAAAACCAAACCTTGAATAAAGTTAATAGTTTTTGCAAAAAAGATCCATAAAAATTGGGTATCTTTTTGATCTTTCTGTATATATGTTTTCCCTTAAATGTTTATGATTTTGTAAATAATTATACAATAAACGTTCTTATATTTTCTTTTACCAAAAAATATAAGAAAATTATTGATTCCAAGCTATAATTTTTTGCAATAAAATAATTTATTTTTTTATAACATAATTCTGTTAATAAGACAATTCAAATTGCATGTTAATATAATTTGTACAAAATATTTCCTTAATTCCATTAGATTACATTTTTCACAGATATTATTTGAGTAAGTAGGTTATTATAAATAACATTGTAAAAGTCATCGCATCATATTCATATCATATTAGCCAGCCGACGCAGGGTCTCGCGAGACCCGCTAATTAGAATTGTTTACTTTTTTCAACTATAAAAAAAATGAAAAAATGGATATTTATTTCTATGAAAAATATGTGTTTTTATTTCACCTTCTACATTGAAATAATTTATTACATATTGTAACAAAAAAACTGCTTTTCAATAATATCACTCTTAGATCACATTTGACCTTGCGTCCGCCGTGCGTGCGAGATAACGTTTGCTGTTCGTGGATTAATCGGGAATTATATACATTCGTATTAATTATATATTTGGATATAGTACGTATCAGGAGATCCATTATCCATCTATGTTGCCGGCGATTGTTGAATGGCTTTCTTCTTCATATCTTCTACAGTCTTCGCAATTACTAATTGCCATCTATCGGGATTATTGTTTATGTACCAATCAATAACTGCGGAAAATATTTCTTTTTGTTTTTCAGTACACTTCTTGCATTTAGTTTGATAAGCTTCGCTGAATATGCCTAAAACCAAAATTTTTTGAAATTTATTTATTCTAGTAATTGATTTCGCTCCTGATTAAAAAGTTTATAGAATCTAAATACAATAGAAAATTAACATAAAAGAAATCTTAGAAATTTTATTCTTCTGAAGTCTTATTATTCAAGATATACAGGATTTATCGCGAGACTTCTTCCACCGCTCACAGGTAAATGGGATCGAGACGAACACAAAAGTCCTATACTGTTTAGTGATATTCGCAATAATGATAAACATATTAATTTTTGTAATTGTACTAATAAAAGCATGCCGAGAAAAGCATTTTAGCCGCTCGAGGTATAACCCGACTCCGTTTATCAAGCATTGCGGCTGCCAGCAGCGCGTTGGAAGGTAAGATAGGAAGTACGCCATTCTCGAGTCATATCTCGAGCGACTGGAGTATTTCTCTCGGCATGCTCTCATTAGTACAATTACAAAAACTAATGTCTCCATTATCATTGCGAATATCTCTAAACAATATGGAACCTTTGTGTTCATCTCGATTCCATTTATCTCCTTGTGAACGGTGGAAGAAGTCTCGCGGTACACTCTGCGTATTGTTAAAAAAAAGACACCTTTAAAAAACTGATCATTTTAAGAATATGATTTTACACAAAAAATAAATCAAAAGTTAATTTTGTCCCATATTCTGGCAAATCAATAATCTATTAAAAAATAATCAATATAGGAAACCGATAAAAACATCTAGTTGAATGAATTCTTCACAAACCTTTCTATTTCTGCTGTATTATTTTTATATAATAAAAATCGAGTTTCTTATCAAATATTCAACAATGTTTAAATACATAATTATTAACTTTCGCAGAACTCTTTATAATTTTTAAGAATTACTCCTACAGTACGAAATATTACAACAATATTGTAGCAATATTTTAATAATATGCAATATAATGAAAATTGCAGTAATTGAAATTTTAATATTTTATTGGAAATGTTGCATCAATATTGTGAAATATTGTAATTTTAATATATTCTATAAGAAATATTGTAATATATTGCTATAATATTATTATTTAAAAAGTACGCGGCTTCGCCATGAGATGAATGCGCTTCTCGTAAGAAAGAAACGTCCTGCAGGAGTTGGATAAAAAAACGTATGCAAATCGAGTTGCTGGAGATGCAAGTCTGGAGATTTCCAACTCTTTCGGGTGTGCTTTCTAGAATGTTTTTTGGTCATAATTTTATTTTAGAATATGTCAAGCAATATTGCCAAGCAATAATATTTTAGCAATTAATAAAACTGGATTAATTATTGAAATATTGCATGATGTTGCATCAATATTTCTTTAAATATTGCAACAATATCGCAAAATATTGCAGCAATATTTTATTTAAGCGAATATAGGAATAATTGCTACAGTATTGTTAGCAATGTTTTACGAAATTGTAATCTTTAAAGTATTTAGGTGTTAAACTTAATTCCTGCCGTTTTTCGTCTCCAAAATTGATTTATTTTGAAGGGAAGATGAATGAATAAACAAAATAATTTCCTCCATTTTCTATTTTATTACTAATTAATAATACTTTATTAATGATACTTTGATTAAGGTATTTCCCTTCGAAACAAATCAATTTTGGAGACGAAAAATGGCAGGAATTAAGTTTAACACCTAATAATATTGATGCAATGTTGCTATGTAATATTTCGTGCTGTAGAGATACATATACATATATTTACGATTATAATATATGTAATAGGTTAATTTAAAATTTTCTGAAATATAAGACTTGGAAGTAAATAAGGAATCTTATTTTGGTATTTGTTACTTCTTGCTTAGTTCGTTATAAGAATTTCTTATTTGACATTGTAAATGATTTAATAATAATAAAAACTTCTATGTTATACCATTAAAGCACTTTTAGCCGATATGGCCAACGACGGTACACCAACTTCGCACATATTCGCTAAATATTGATTCAATGTGGATAATTACGTATATCATGTATGTCTATGATAGTTGCTTATGTGACATATGTTGGCCATATCGTTTGGAGGCAATTTTATGGAAAAATCAATATTGTGTAGATCAAAGAATTCATAACAAAATTGTATAGATTACTTGTTAGGGCCTTCTGTGCTGATGTCTGGCACGGTGCTATTTCCATGAAGCAATCGTAATATGAGTCTCGCACAGTCTTATTATTGAGAGCAGCACGATAGTCAATATTATCGTATTTATCAGAATAGTGCTCTTCTTCTGCAAGAATGCACATCAGTACAAGTACATTCACTACAATGATTAACGCAATATGGCATAACCGAGCCATTGTTTGCACAGTTGTTACTTGAGAGACTAAAATGCCAGTGCAACGTGCATTTCGTTTTTATACAATTTACTTAATAAAAAAAGGTGCGTGACGTAATAAGCATATATGCAAAATATAAACATAAGGCAAACTTAACAGATGCTTGAATATTAAATACGTATAAATTAGTATGTTTTAAGATAAAAAGAATTTTTTTAGTACAATGTATGCATATGTCATAAGTACGTATTTTAAAAATATGAAATGTTTATAACTTCCTATTTTTAATGATTTAATTAATTTAAAATAACTTTTTCTTAGCAAAGATATCAATGAATTTTGGATTATGACAGATAGAAAAAGTAGTGTAAAAAAGTCATATTGCAATATTTCTCTTCACGCGCATTTTCTATCTATTACTGCATTCTATTTATTATCGCAAATATGTATACAGACGCTTTCCAGCAGAAATTAAATACAGTCAGACACAGTGAATCACTACAACAAGGAAACAATTCACTGTGTTACATAGTGTCTGACTGTGTCCTTGCTAAAAAGCACTCATAGTTCATCAATTATAATTCAGCCAATCAAATATTACCCATAATAATTATCTGAATTAATGGAAGCTTTTCAACAACGACACAAATTGTGACACGGTGTTAGGCTGATATTACATTTGTCGCATGATGGAAAGAATATAAGGTGAAATATTCCCGTGGATGTGCAGTAGGAGAGTGAATTTGGATAACATTTGATTGACTTTTTTAAGAATGTAATATAAATGAAAAACGTAATATATATAAATAATGTAAGCGTTTTGTATCTTAGCTATTAAATACTACTACATGATGATTCATTTTTTAATTAGTCAAGATTGGAAAAAGTGATATTACTTTCTAAAAAATTTTAGGTTGGAAATGAATAATCTATAAAGACTTTGCATATTTATAATTTCAATTTCTAACAAACACAAATCTAGGGCATCTATTGTACGTGAAACTTTCACGATGAAAGAGTGACGATTATCTAACTATATAAATAATTATACAGTAAACGTTGTTTACGATATCTTATTTTTAAAAAATGCTTCTTTATTATAGAATTTATTGTAATATAGTACCATTTATTTATTTATAATATGTTTCTATTAAAATAATATCTATAATGTATGTGTGCATACTGTGCATGTTAGTTAAAACAATTTATACAAAATGGTTCTTTAATCCCATCAAATACCTTTCGCAAAGTATTATTTAAATTATCAGATTGTGTATGTGTGTGTGTGTGTGTGTGCGTGCGCGCGCGGGCGCGTGTGCGTGTGTAAATTATACTACGTGCTATTATATTATATTTTAATTAAATGGAAAAATTCGAATATAGTATGTATTGAGAGATTTATTATCCATCTGCGTTACTAGCAGCTTTTTTCTTCATTTTCTCTACAGTCTTCGCAACTATTAATTTCCATAACTCGGGTTCATTTTTTACGAACCAGTCGGTTACTAAGTTCAGATTTTCTGTTTGTTTTTTAGTACATTTTCTGCATTGAGTTTGGAAAGCTTCGCTGAACAATTCTGCAACCAATTGAGGATACATATTTACATTTATTTACTTTAGAAATGATTTTATCCCAATTTATAAATATACAGAATTTAAATACTGAGGATGCACCGAATATCCGGGAAATATCCGGTATCCGGTATTTTTTTACTATCCGATTGGATAGCTAGATATCATTAGTATTCGGTAATATATCTAGCTAAAATTTTATATTAAAGGTTTGCGTTATTAATATAGAATTTTATTCTTTTCAGCTGAACTTCTTGCACAGTTTATCTCTCCTCTTTTTCTTTTCACGTTGGGAAGATAAAGAAAATTATTATCGCTATGTTTTCCATAGTTTTTTTGGATACCTCGTTTCAGATATTCAAATATCCATGGAATCCGGTATTCGGTCGGATAATTAGTTCTACCGATTGGATATCGAATATCCGAAAAGAATGTCACCAAATATCCGATATTCAATATCCGGTAATTTTACAATCCGGTGCATCCTTATTAAATAGAAAATTAAAGTATAACATATATTTAAAAAATAGATATTCTTGTTCAAAAATATAACTTATAAAAAAACAAGATAAAAAATCAATTTTATCCCGCATATCTCTAAAAAACCAATTATTTAAAAATTAACTTAAAACGATGAGAACATATAATTGTCGAATGCAGTCCTCGCACGCAGAATTTTTCTGCTGTATTATTGATATATAGTTTTGATAATACTTTTAAGGCTTTCACGGATGTTTTTTTTCAAAGGTGCCAAAGGGTTTACAAGTTATCGCCCTGTCCTTATCAATGCGCTGCTCGCCCTAATGAAGTGAATGGCAAGGTTCGCGAAACGATGCCATTATAGCAATGGATCACGACATGGCAATAATCCGTAAACCCTTTGACACTTCTGTTGTATTATTTTTATACAATAAATAAATTAATTAGAAGCAAGTTTTTCTTATCAAATATTGGAAATGTATATGTCATTCTTTCAACTTTTGTTGGACTCCTTTCAATTCTGAAAAATTATACATATAATTAACACGGACAGATGGTCTAACGACTATTATCAATAATAAAGATCGTTGTTCTTTTATAATAATGATTTTGAATGTAAACGTGCTTTTGAATGAACCAATGCGGTTACAAATTTAAATTTAGTTTGATTTCTGATTTGATAAGAATAATATAACTGTTCCTATATATTACAATTTTATATAGAACTTAATGATTATACCCAGACAGCACGCGACATCCAATGGACGTTGTGTGCTGTCTAGGTACAGCTGTCAAGATAAGATATTCACAATGTTCGAATTGTGCTTAACGTTCATTATGTGTTTGTCATCTATTTGGTAATTCACTGAAGATGGTCTGAATCAGGCTGAAATGTTCATATGTAAGTATTGAATTCAAGAAGATCTAGGTATATGTAACATGAAGTTATATTATATTATATTACATACGTTAATGGCCGTTCTACAATAAATCATTAATCGTAAATCAGAAGTTAGAAGCTGAAAATTAATTAATCACAGTCGTTAATTTTTAGTTTCTGACTTTTGATTTATGATTAATGGCTTATTGTAGAAGGCCCATTACAATGATTGCGTTGTGCTTCCAGTTTGCAGTTATTATACCACATGAACATATAATTAAGCAACTCAAAATTTTATTAAAATAAAGTTTTAAAGCACATAAAGAATTTTATTTTGTCATTTGTTTTCTCTCCTGATGCTTAATTTGTCAAAAGAATATCTTATTTAACATTGTAAATCATTTGAAAACTACAAATACGTATTACTGTTAAGGAAACTTCGATTTTGTTTTATCAAAGAATCCGTCATAAAAGAAAACAGAAACAAAATTCGGTAATTGTATAAATATGTTACCTGCTATACCCTCTTGTTCTGGTGTTTTGCACGGTGCTATTTCCATAAAGCAATTATAATATTCTTCTCGTATCTCCTTGTTTTGAAGAATAAATTGTATATCAATGTAATCATATTGATCAGAATAACGTTCTTCTTCTGCAAGAACGCACATTAATACGTTCATAGCAATGATCAATGCAATACGACTTAATTGAGTCATTGGTACCACAGTTATGATGCTTGAGGTATTTACTAATTAATAAGAGAGATCGTAAGGACATTTCATTTTATATAAATCTTATTTAATAAAAAACAAATTATGTGACGTAAAATATATGCAAAATATGTTTGATATAAGTAAACATGGTGATATAAGTAAACTATGTTTTACTAGAGAATATTGAAGAAACGTTAATTGCACAATGTGTACAAGGTTTCTATTTTTTAACGCTTGAGTGTTGTGTGTGTGTGTGTGTGTGTGTGTGTGTGTGTTGTAACTAGTAATGTCTTATTTATTTTTTAAGTTAGAGAAAAAACGGCTAATACGAGTTAAAGACATAGATGATACGCAATAAATAGAATGTGCAAAAATTAAAACATAAAATAAATACTTTAATTAATGTTTCGGTTCTTCATTTGTACTATCTTCCGAATGTTCAAAAAATAAGGATAAAAGTAACGGAACATCCAAGCATAAATTAAATATCTATAGATAAGACTTATCTTATCTTTTACTTTAAAAAATTTTTCTTTTTAAGTGTAAATTATTTTTCTGATTATTATCTCAATGAATTAACTTAACGAATCTATTTTTGTTATATATTTTTGTTAATTGTAGATCTCAGGATGAGATCCACAATTTTGGTTCTACAACTCAGGTTCTTTGCAAATTACTGATATTTTATTATACTTTATTAAGAATAGCTTTACATTATAGTAATATTCATGCTTGAGATTTGGATTTTTTGGTCAATATTCCAATTTCCTTAGCCAAGGAGTTCTTACTCTTGGGATCGACAATACAATCTCCTCCTTTTCAACCGAAGTTAAAGTATTTATATTATGTTTTAATTTTTGCACATATTGATACATTTTTATTGCGCTGTACCATCTGCGGTTTCTTGACTCGTATTAGCAATTTTTTCTCTAATTTTATAAATTTTTGCGAATTCGAATTAATATTAAGATTTATAACAATAAATAGAAAGTTAAAGGGCGAATAAGGGTCAACTTGTTAAAATTCTTTATAAAATTACGAAAGAAACGATATATTAGATGCATTTTAATTTTGTACAATGAATAGAAATTGATTGTTTATAATTCTTCAAAAGATTAATAATATAAGCAATAAACAACTGAGAAGCATACAGCCAAATTGATCTCAGTTTTTAATTTTTTCTTAGTTTGCCCGACATAAGAGGAATCACAGTCTGGCAAAATTTATTTTTTATATATTATATTACAATTTTCCTCTTTTTTTAGAGCGTCTTTCTCAGTTTTAATAAATCTATCTAGTTTATTCATAGGTTTGTAGGCAATACTGAACCCGAATTTGTACGTTTGAATCAGCTGTACTTTTGAATTTTTCAACTATTTTATTAAAGTATGTATTACTATCGCTATTTCTATCGCTATCGCTGTTGCCTCGGATTATGTTTAGGGCTTTGAGATCGCACCATTCCACAGACTTTTATAACTAGACTGCTGACTCAGGCTGTGTTCCAAAATTTACTGTCAGTACTAAAAATCTATAGTTTACGTGCATTATTGTTTCTATCTCTAAACATATGTATTCAAAAAATTAAAACAAAATATATATTATAAAAACATTAGACATAGAGATTAACTTAGATAAAAATAAAAGTTTTTAAAGTTTATCTTAAGATTAAAAAAATTAAAATATCTGTCAAGAATGATTTTTATTGTAACAAATTTCGAGTACACTCACGAAATTTTAGTAGAATATTCACACACATTGATATCTTTAACAGATTCTTTTTCAAATTTTGAAAATTGGTACATCGTAGTAAAAAAATAAAATATTGCAAATTATATAGTATTTAAAACACAACAAGACATTCTTTAAATACATTATGGATTTTTTTTTTGGTTGAATACTTACGCTGATACCTATAACATATATTAATCAATTATTTCTTTAAATATTTAAAATAATTGATACTTTATAATTTATATTAAAAATATAAAAATAAAAATAAGTCTATTTATTAAATTATTTTTTATTATAAGATTATATTTTTATTATAACCACTTTATTAACAATTGGCTATTAATAATTTTATATTAATAAAAAATAATATAAAATTATTAATAAAATATGTGCAATTAACATGGTGCGTATCGCGCCCTTTTTTTTCCTTCTCTTTAAAACATTATTAGTGATGATTGATGATAATGACACGTTTTTATCGCCTTTTATACTTCGTTCCCCACCCAAAGCTATAGTTAATGAGAGTACGTAACTCTTTAACATTGCTAAATTAGTTAAAATGGTTAGCGCGCAATAATTTATATATACGTCTATATGCTAATAGATGAGATCGATATACAAAAACTACGTGCGCACATACTGTGGTGCATAATTACTGCTTTAATAAGCTTTAAATAAGCATTGGAAAAAATTGTTTATAGGATTATTATGCACCGATATATTTTTTCTTATCTTTTTTTAAAGCAAGGAGTGCGCAGAATAATATTTATTATTAATTAAAACATTAAAAACAAATCTCTTATTTCACATTTTTTTCTATTCGTAATTTTTGTGAATAAATAGAGTATGAATGAAGCAATTACTTGGTAAGCTTCAAATTTTAAATATACAATTTTTTTTTAATAAATCGAGCTTAGGCAAAGTAATACATATTTCCTGACAAACGTTGGATTGGCGATCGATAAGAGACAATGATGTAGAAGGCGGAGGCGTTCTGCTTTAGACGCCTGCGCTATCTTAGTAAAAGTGCCTATTCATTAGTACTTCTTCATTACAAACAAAAATTTAAGATTCGAAATTTGTTTATAAAAAAACAAAAAGCCGTAACTTATTTTGGCTGCTCTTAGACGAAAGACGAAAGTAATACATATTTCATGAAAAATGTTGGATTGTAATCCATGGAGACACATGGAAATGTGTATTACTAAAAAATAGGAGCAATTATTTATTTCATTTAAGTAGGAGCATACACTCAAAAGGATTAAAAAGATGTTTACTTTACGAATTTTTTACAAAAACAGGACTTTAATCAATATCTTACATGTATATTAATGTTATATAAAATTTTAAATTAAAAATATTAACAAAAATAGCGACACAACTGTTGACGTTAAGCTTGTCCACAGGAATAACGGTTTATGGTAATTATCGTAGCTTTCATACAATTTATTAAAACAAAAGCACCAAATTCTTGAAATATATTAATATATCTAGCTTTTGCCATGATCGATTTTAGACATTATTATAATATTGAGAAAATTTGGTAGACTTCTGAATTTAAAAGATGTAATTCTTCGTAAAAAAAATTGTTTGTTTTTTATTGTAAAAAGAAGAATATGGCTCTAAAAAAATCTTTACGACAAAAACTAAATTTATTAATATATTTTAAGAGTTTGTTGAGTTTTTTATTTCAGATACATTGTATGAAAACTACGATTGTTACCGTAAACCGTTATTATTACTGACAGCAGTTGTGTCGGCATTATTTGCTAATATTTTTAATTAAAAATTTTATGTAACACTCACTAATATACGTGTAAAATTTTCATAAAAACCTTGTTTGAGAAAAGTTAATAGTTTGAGTGACCATTTAGCAATTGTTGCAAACATTTCTTTTTGTTTTTCAGTACACTTCCTGTATTTAGTTCGATAATTGCTTCGCTAAACATTCCTAAAACCAAAAAATTATTTTTTGAAATTTATTTATCCTGGTAATCGATATATTACGCTCTCAATTATAAAAAGTTTATAGAATTTAAGAATGATAGAAAATTAAAGCAAAAGATGTATTAAAGAAGGCGGATATTTTATTCCCAAAATATCCCAAACAGCAAACAATGTTTTTAAACAATATTTTTAAAAATGTTTTAAAAAACGTTTTTATAAACATTTTTAAAAACGTTAAAAATAATGGGTTAAGTCTTTTTTTTTATTAAAAAACATTTATTAACGTTTGAAAAACGTTTATTTAACATTTAAAGAAACATTCTTTTAATGTTTAAAAACATTTTTAAAAACGTTAAAAAGTAATAGGTTAAGTCATTTTTTAATTAAAAAAACATTTATTTTAACGTTTTTCTTAATGTTTGAAAAACGTTTATCTATAGTTTAAAGAAATTTTTGTTTCACATTTTAAATAATTTTTTATTCGAAAAATGTACATTAAGATATTTTCTTGTATCTCATCTTTACAAATATATATGTATATACTATAATATATATACTATATATATATATGTATATTCAGGGTTGGGTAGTAACTAGTTAAAAAATAATTAACGTTACGTAAATATTTCTTTTCACTACATTTTAACACGTTAAAAGCCATGCACGCCAGTGCCGGTCCCTACGAACCGGCACTAGATTTTCCGTTTACGCCACACGCCGCCGGCACTCAACTCGAGGGGGTAACCACTTAATGTAATCGTGGGACAAAATCCTCGAAATCATTATAAAATTTATATAAAATCTCTATATATAATCCGATAATCATATATGCAACCACGAGAAATCATTGTATAATATTAAATAAAATCGTATATTTTACCAAATTACTTCATGGTAGTAGTGAAAAAAATTATTTGTAATCTCTCAGATGAAATTATGTAATCTGTGGGACAATATTTCAGCTAGTGGTTACCCTCTTGACTCAACTTTTTGTTTAGGCTACACCGCCGCGCCGATCCTTGCGTACCGAGAAAGAACATTTCGTTTAGGGCCTAAACTTTAGGCGATGTCAATCCTTGAGAAATTTAAAGTAATAAGTGGAGAATATAATACTTTATCAAAAATTATATAATGTAATTTATTAAAACAATTTAAACAAAGATGGAATTTCCCTTTACAGGTATTACAAAAAGTTAT